CTTCTTTTGCGTTGCAGGTGGCGTTGCTTATTTAAAATAGTTTGGACTTTGTTTGCATTGTGCATATTCTTTTGTTATACACCGCGCACCTGAAATCAGCTACAATGAAACCTCTGAAGAGTTGTGGGTTCTTTGATATAGAGCCTCCAATTCTCTAAATGTTAAAGAAGATTTTCTGTCTTTATTGTTAAATACCATATTTAGGAGCTGTCACTAGAACTTCGTGAGTTTGGCGTAAGATTCTGCCAACATCCGGACACGACTTTCTTATTCAACACTGTTGGTTTAGCACAACTCAGAGATGGTCGTGAAGCAACTGCGAAATGATTTCCAGCGAGGACTTATGTAGACGTGTATAAATCTTTTGAACTCTATATCATTTCATGCATACTCTGTGTTATTTTAGCTGATTCTATCTTGGCGGGTAGTAGAGTTAGTTGTCGTGCAAAGTTAGTTCTAATCGTTAGCATTTAACGTCTTTCGGTGCTTACATCCTTTTTCTCGGTGTGAGTGGCAGGTTAGATAGGCATGCTGCTCTTATAAATTTCCTACCATTTTACTGCTTATAATAAACATTGCTCTTAATCTATCTTGCAGAGAAAATCTTGTGTTCGTGCTGAATCTATATCCGTGGTAATGTAATATTTAAAAATCGATTTTACTCAATGAATATCTTCGAATCTCTTTAGAGATTAGATAAAAACCACCTTGCCCCGTGAAATTGTGACGAGAACATTGGAGTAGCAGTAAGTGGTTGCTATTTGTAGCTTTCTTTGCTTTTGGCTTGACTTTCTTTTTTTTAGCTCTGTTCTAGTTGAATATACGTAAATGGTCTTTTTGCATTAGGCTCCCACACCTGGCGATGGCAGCCATGTTGCCAGTTGTACGCGGTCGGCGATCCCTTGCGTTCTTCTAGCGCAAGTGGGTGCTCTGGCGCGAATTTGACTCGAAATACTACATACGAGAATTGTTATTAGATTGGAAAGAACTTTTGAGATATCATAGTGTGAACTAATTCACATAGAACGAAAATTACTGATATCGACTCGAATTTGAACCGTTTGACCTGGTTGGTAAAATTTGTGTTAATGTTTATATGCTAGATACTTCTTTCGGGCAACTGCAACTAATACATTGGTATCCTAGTATAAGGTCGCCTTTTGCTGGAAGGACACCATTTAATTCCATATTCTTTATTTTCTCTCATATTTTTCCTATAGCAACAAGTATACATCATCAATCATATTAGGAAGTCTCCATAGTTATGATTCATGAGACCTATTTTTGATATAATTTTCCAATTGATAGACACTTTCATAACTACACCTAACTTCGTTCATCCTTCTCGCAGTTTTTTCTGAATGAGCGTTAGCGAAAATTGTGAGCTTAGGAAGCCAGTTGACGCCACTATCCAGCCATGGGAAACCCCAATCGCTGGTGTCAAATACCAGACGGCTACCCTTTACGCTTGGAAGCCACAAGCTATGGCTGCAAATCGCCATGGGCGGAGTCTAAGGGGCCTTCCTATTCAATCGGTCCGCACCGATTGGCCCGATTTTGAGCAACTGCACAATATACGGGCAGATTTAAAAGCAACGAATGGTTTTTGCCAAATTCGCCCAGTATAGTATGCTTATTTTTGTCAGATGGCTCCGTTTTTTTTT